CTTCCAAGGTACTTCTTAGAAGTTGTCAAATTTATTTCAAAAAAGATTTTTGTAATATGCTTTCTATGTCCTTTTAAATTCTGTAAAATCTGTGGCAACGTCCTCTAAATTTTGATATTGTAATTTAAAAAATGTATAATTGATATTGTGTAATAGGAAGAAAAGGTGTAAAGGAGTAGGGGAAGGTGGAGGGGTAGGGGAGAAGCAAGAGAAAAGAAAAAATATGAGAAAAGAAAAAAAATGGAAACAAAGTCTCTGCAAATAGAGAAGAGTGGAGGGGGTGAAGGGAGGGCAGGGGAAGGGGAAAAAAATAAGAAACAAGATATATCATGTAAAGGTACAAGGTCCCAATGATGAACGTAACTGTACTTTATACCTAAAATGTACCAATAAACTTAATGGGAAAAAAAAAAAAGCCAAAAGCTGTATTAAGTGAACAGGTTAAAGGATAGGAGGTAAGGGCTGAGAATATAGCTCAGCAGTACAGCACCTGCCCTGTAAGTGTGAGGCCCTGAATTCAATTCCCAGTACCAAAAAAAAAGAAAAAAAGAAATATAAGTTCTTCAGAAATCAAAGATTAACCCCTGAAACTAGAAAATTAGTGAAGAATTGGTTTTGAATAACTTTATTGCAAAATAATCTGCAAGTACTTTTATCAGGTACTTATTACCACTAACTAGATGAAGATTCAAATACTGTAATTGGATTTAGTGATGCCCTACCTATTTTGCCCACTGGTATTTTTTTGCAGTACCAGGGATTAAACTCAGGACCTTGTGCTTGTGAGACAGGCATAGTACCACTGAGCTAAATCCCCAGCCCTTGCCCACTGGTATTTCATACTGCCTTTAATAAAGGTAGTACAGAAGCTAAATGTGAGCTCTAAAAACCCTGGGTTAAAATCCTGATATTACTATTTATCAGGTTATGTGATCTTTAGCAAGTTACAGTTAACTGTCATTATTTGCACTAGTTATGCTCTATAAAGTCTATAATCATTGCCTCTAAGAAAAATACAAGCTTAGGTTCCTGCAGTTACAACATTTTCATCAACCAACCAATAGGGAACTATTTAATGTGTTTCTATTTAAAGATATCTTATTTAATATATATGTAGTTTAATAATTAACTCAGCCAACAGCACTATAACTCATGCCTAAATGAAGCTTACTTGATAAATCTACTTTCTCCACAAGGTACATCACAGCCTTTCTCCACTTGGAAACATTAAACAGCAGACAGGACTTTAGTACACGTTTGGAGGCCATTTCTTACATAGCAAAAATCACAAGTAAAAACAAAAATATATATAGATCAGGAAAAAGACATGTTCACAATATAAGAGCTGAAACAAGGCAGAGCCTGCTGTGTCTGACCTCAGCTGGTAATGCGTGTGTTGGGAGACTAAAAATCTTTGCTGCTCTGCACATAAGCATATATGTGAGAAAGCACCAAGAATATTAACTGTAATGTTACAAATAACTTCAGCAGGCAGACAAATCCATAATTATAGAACCCGAGAATATAGTAATATACTTTACAAAGAGTAATGTCAGAGAATGTAATTTATCTCCTCACATCAGCTTCTTTATATGTAAAGTGGATGCATAAAGCAGTTTTAAGAATTAAGTGAGACAGGGCCAGGGATTTAGCTCAGTGGTTCCAGCGCCTGCCTTGCAAGCGCAAGGTCCCGAGTTTGATCCCCAGTACCAAAAAAAAAAAAAAAAAGAATTAAGTGAGAGAAGGCATATACAGAATATCCAACATAAAGGAAAACCTAACAAATGTACCCTTTGTTTCTTTTTTCATTAGCACAACTATTCATTATGGGGTCCAAAAGAACTGGCTATTTAGAAAATACGTCTTGCAATACAAAATTTACAGTTTCTTTCCAAGTCAATCAAATTTTGTAATGATAAAAAATAGTCCAAAGAATTGCCTTTCCTTCCATTTCTTAAATACTGAGAAACAAATTTTAAACACATCTATGCAGCTTGTTACAAAGATATGCTAACAAATGAAATAAAATATAGTTAACAATCAAAAGAACACAAGAGAATTTCTTCAATATTTAAGACAACATAAAAATTTTCGTTAAGAGGTAGAGGTATGGTTCAGTGGTAGTGTGCTCAGTAGACACAAGGTCCAGGACTCAATCTCGAGCATAAAAATAATAGTAATTCTGTTTGTAGTATTACCTTTGCTACTTTTAGAGATTCCTTTTTTCTCTCCAATCTCTCTTTCTTCTTCTGTTCCTGTAAGATAATTGTTTCTTAGTATCTTAGCGGGAAATATGACACGTAACACATGCATCTCAACTTTCAAAAAAAACTGTTCAAAATGGAAAAAAAAATCATAATAATTATAAAACAAGGAAAACTTGTGTTTCAAGTCTTTATATAATAACAGGGAACAGATTTACTCTCCTGTCATAAACAACATCCAGATAAAATATATTAAACTTTTCTCTCCTTGCTGAGACAAAATGCCTGACACCCAAAGTTAAAGGGGAAAGGGTTTATTTAGCTCACAGTTTGTAGAGGTTTCAGTCCATAATCGGCTGGCTCCAAGGCAGGGTGGCACATGGTAGAGGGGCATCACAGAGGAGAAACAGTTCTTGGAGCTCACCAGGTAGCAAAAGCAACAAGGGGAAACTACAGCTCTTTCTATCCCTTATATCTTATCCAGACTACTTAGGGGAGGTAGGACTCACACCTTTAATCCTAGTGCCCTTGAGCCTAGCATTATACCAGGAATCAATCACACACTCTAGATCCAGCTACCTCAGAAAAAGCTCAACCTACAACTGCATGAGACTTTGGGGAGGACAGACATCTTGACCCAAATCATAACATAATGATTTTCAAAAAGACAGCGAACACTGACAAAAGGGAAGTGAGATGAATTCTTCTGACTGCCCAGCGTACTGCCTAAAGGCAAGTACAATTAAAGGAGGGATAATCCAAACCAAAGTCAAATCTCTTTGAGTTGAGACAGAATTGAAACTGAGAGCTGCTAGCATCTCCAGTGTCAAGGACCAAAAAAGACAAAGCTGCACAAAGAAAGTTACAGTGGGTCTCAAGACTTTAGGGTAAACTGTGACAAGCACATAGTGTGAGAAACCAAGGGTAGGAAAACAGCTACTAGAAAGAAGCAGGTATAGCAATTTCCCATGCTCCCAAGCGATCAGGAAAAAGGAATACCTCATATTCCCTCAGAGAAAGTAGAAAGTCCTAAATACAGGGAATCAAGTAGGGGGGCAAAGTTATTCCTAGACTAAATGCTGTTACAGATGTACCTTAAATTTTAGAACAAGACACAAAGGATACAACCCATTTTTTCCAAGAGGTGATTGAAATGGTATTTGCCTTATAACTCATTAAGTACATGCTCATTTTGGGTTTTATTTTACAACATAAAGATTTAAAAAGGGTTCCAAAAAGGGAAAAAGGAGATAAATGTAGCAAAATCTCAATTAATAACTCTTAATAGGTGATGGGGATGTAGGGATTTATTGTACTCTCTCAATTTGCACCAGTTCTTAAATCTTTATACATTATAGTGGGAAGATAATAAACAATGATACAATGTATCACATGAAGCGTTCAATAGGAAGAGCATAATAAGGTAAAGGGGATCAACAGTAATTTCAAATTCCAGGACTTTGAGAAGGTAAGACAGAAGGATCACAATTTTGAGCCCAAGCTGAAAAACTTAGCAAGATCCTTTCTCAAAATTAAAAAAAGGCCTAGGGATGTAGCTCAGGGCCCTTGTGGGACTGCATAACTCTGTAATCATAAAACTCCCCTAGCCCCAACAGTGATTGAATGTGAGTAAATAAAGATGCTTGTTAGTTCCAGGACACTAGATAAGATCTGTATCAGCCATAATTATTCAACTCTTTGTTCCAAAACTGATGTTCCAGACACCGCTATCTATAGAACAATCTACAAAACATCTGCTGACCATCAGTACATGTCAGGCTAATTAACATACAAATGTAAGACCACTAACCTTTGTTCCCTCTTCTGTAAATTTCGCCTGTTAACTTCCCTGCAAGCCCCTATAAAAAGAGCCTCAGACTCTGGGCTGATTGCCTCTCTAAGCTACTTAGACTAAGGTCTGTTTTACTTTCCAACTTGGTGTGTTCCTTCCCGGGTATTCTTCGCTGCAGTCAGCTCCTCGGAGCGTTTGGTAAGGCCCTTGGTCTTACATTCTGGAGGCACCGCTGGGATCCCTGGGTGTGCTTCACTGCAGTCAGCTCCTCGGAGCGTTTGGTAAGGCCCTTGGTCTTACATTCTGGAGGCACCGCTGGGATCCCTGGGTGTGCTTCACTACAGACAGCTCCTCGGAGCGTTTGGTAAGGACAGCGGTCTTACAGCCCTGAGTTCAATCCTTGTGTGGGTAGGGGTTAATACATGATGGATGACAAGTTAATAACTTCATTTAAGGTTGGCAGAGCACTTCACATCTCATTGAGATTAATGTTTAAGCCAAGAAGGCATGCTTACATGTGTCTTGGGGAAAATGATTACAGGCAGAAAACAGCCAAGGCAAAAGCCCAAAGGCAAAAACACAGCTGGAAAGAAGTTGGGAAGGTAATGGGCTTGTGCCAGACAGTCAAATTGCTGAGAATCTTACAAGCTTTTTAAGTACTTTGCTTGTCAGTAACAATATGCCAGAAGGCAATAGATAACTTTAAGGTACCTCAAGGAAAAAAAAATACTGAACAGAAAAATTTTTTTTGGCCACATAGGGGAATACAGCCCATGGCCTTGCACATGCTAGGCAACTGCCACACCACTGAACTTCATCTGGTCTTGGTCTTTTTAAATTTTAATTTGAAACAGGGTCTCCCTAGGTGGCCCAAGTTGACCTTGAGCTTTTGTTGATCAAGCCAAGTAGCTGGGATTATAGAAATGTACCACCAAACCCAGATAAGAAAAAAATTCTTTATTCAATGAAAATATCTTTTGAAAATGAAGAATTTCAGATATATAAAAGCTAAAACAATATATCCCCAATGGAAAATGCAAATGGACGTGTAATAACAAAACAGGTCAGTTTTCTGGCTATTTGGAGATGGAAAAATTAAAAACAGGTTGACAAATTATTTAAAATTGATGAGAATGTAAATTATGATTGTAGTGGCTTCTCAGGTATACCCATGTCAAAACATAAAATTATACATTTTAAATATCTGCAGTTTAGTGTATTCCAATTATATCTCAATACTATAAATAGCATTTTAAAAACTATTTTTTAAAATGAAATATCTCTCAGGAATAAAAAGAATGACTGACAAATACATCATGAATCTCAAAAATAAACTGTGCAGAAAAAAAACGAGACACAGAAGAATTCATACTTGTATAAATACTGAGGAAAAAAACTCAGTTTCTATCATTGTTCAAGAATTAAAAGCGAGGGCTGGGGATTTAGCACAGTGGTTCTGCTGCCTGCCTTGCAAGTGCAAGGTCCCAAGTTCGATCCCCAGAACCAAAAAAAGAAAAAAAAAACCAAACAATTAAAAGCAAAGACTTCTGTGAACAAATGTGTTAGGATTTCTTTTTTCCACATACCAAGCAACCAGTGTCAGGTCCCACACACTGAAGGATCAGTTCCTAAGATTTCCCCCTCTCCTCACTTCAGATTGCAATCTCTAACTCCTAGGTTGCTTTATCTGTGCTATTATTGTGGACAGTTAAGTTAGAAATACTGTAGCCAGTCAGACAGGGCTCCAAGGCCCTCCAAGAAGTCAAAATAGAAGAACCCATCACAACTGTGGCTGGAGGCAATGAACAACAGTGATTGATATTCTAAACAGGCATCAACCACCTTGGGAGAGAAACTAAAACCTCTTTCTCAGAAAGCCCATTCCTTCGCAGAGAATTCTTGTTGCATTCCAAGTATGCCTGCTACAGGACTTGCATCCCCAATTATTCAATATTACCTAATTCTATACTTAAAATCTTGTACTTTTGTTCTACCTTATACCCACCTCACCTCATGGTTTTGCTATATAAAACTTCCTTGTGCAGGCCAGGGATTAAGCTCAGTGGCAGTACACCTGCCTTGTAAGCGCAAGGTCCTGAGTTCGATCCCCAGTACAGAGACAGAGAGAAAAAAAACAAACCACCAACTCCCCTGTGAAGCAGTCTGCCAATAACCAATTTCTGGGTCCCCTTCTTTCTTAGACAGAAGCTATCTTTCTCTCAATAAATACTTCCTACTCTTAATCTCCATTGTTCCTAGAATTCATTCTTCAATTTTAGAAAACATGAACTCGGCTTATCAGACATATAGCAGGCTGGGAGCTATAATATTTCCCTTATATTATTTGAGGTCCATATATCATCACTATATCACATGCCCTATATATCACTATGAATTGAGGTTCACACATCACGCTCCCTTCATTGGATTAACTTGCTAGATAGAGCAGATCACAACACTTCACTTTTTATTGGTTAATTATAAAGGATATACAAAAAATACTGATGAAAACATAGATGGGTAAAGTAAGGCATGGTGTGTGGTGGAAGGCAGTTTTCCCATCCTCTCCAAGAATTTCTATGTGTTCCTTAACCAGAAGCTCTCAACATCAGTCTTCTGGGAGCTTTACGTAAGCTTCATTATATATTCATTATTGAGCCATTAAATGAGTGGTCACTGGTGACCAGCCATATCTTGAGGTAGAGCTCAAGTTCCAACCCTCTAATCATGCCAAGATCTTTCTAAAGAGTAGCAAGCACTCTAAAGCTACCCAGGGACTCTCAGCCATCATTTAACTCGTCAGCATACAAAGAGACACATCACTTTGAAGAGTCCAAGAATTTTAGGAACCAAGGAACAAACAGGGATGAGACCAAATAGTATCTTATAATACCACAATGCCATAATATTCTAAAAAGCAATACTGATCCATAACGACAGAAAGCAAATCACTTGGGCTGGGGATTTAGCTCAGTAGCACTGGGCCTGCCTTGCAAGCACAAGGTCCTGAGGTCGATTCCTGGTACCAAAAAAAAAAAAAAAAGAAGCGAGCAGATCACTAATGCCATAAAAGAACTTTCTTTTTGGAATAGAAATGTACACTGTTATCTTGATTTGTGCTGGTTAGTCTATACCACTGATGGTGAACCTGTTAGCACTTTCAATAACAAACAGCCTCCTGTGGCATGCGCACCATAGGTTCGCCACCACTGGTCTTTTTACTGCTGAAAATTCATCAAAGTATAAAGTTGAAACCTGTACTTTTTAGTGTATACAATTTATACCCCAATAAAGGTGTTTAAAAAAATTTAAAATCCTAGTAAATAATTAATCACATATACATACCTCTAATTGCTGCTGCTCCATTTTAGTCAATAAAAATTTGGAGTAGATATTGCTCTTTTCAAGCAAATGTTGAAGTCTTCGATACTGAATTTCTGTGGATTCTCGGTCCCAAGATAGGCGAGCCTATCCAAAAAGAAGTTTTCCATAATTACTTAAGTATTCTGACTGATTTTTTTGCATAATGTTTAATAAAAATGGGTGAACAAACACATTTTGGGTTTAAAATATTTTCTAAGAATAATCAAAAAAGATTCTTAAAAGATTAATTTACTAAAGATAGTTTGCTTTTTAAAAACTGGAACAACTAACTTTTAAAAAAAATTCTACTTTTAGAATTTTAAAATTGTATTGTTAAAATGGTCAACATACTGACTTCTCATCCCTAGTTGTTTGCTCCTGAGCTTTGCCCCAATCCTTTAGCTTTCTTTTTCTTAGTACCTTTATCTTTCACTTGTATATACTTTTATTACTCTGCTTCCCACACAGCTGTAATAATACAACATGTATTTGTCCAGTAATTTCTAAGTGTCTAAAACAGTCTAGTGGTGGAGGAGGAAACTTCTTTAAAGTCACACTGACAGAAAAGGTAAATATTTTAAAAGAATAATAATGGAAAGCACAAGATAAAAAACATGTCAACTGAAAATTCCATGAAAATGATTACAGTTGGCTAAAGTGAATCAAGTGAGAGTTGAATTCATCTACTAAAGCTATCGTTATTGTAATTTACAATTTTCTCCCCAGAAAGCATGTGTATATGTGTGTGCAGATACACACACGTAAACTATTTAAATCAGAATAGAGGTGATAAGAGGAAATCAACGACTCTAAAGTATCCAGGATTGAGAACTACATAGTATTATGCCTTTAAATATAAGTTCCTTAACACTTATCAACAAACACATACTGAAGCACCACCAATTTGTAATCCACAAATTACAAAAAGTTCTAGGCAGAGGAACACAGACTGATTTTTATTACAGATGAAATGACATTAATGTAGTTGAAAATACTAAGTATTAAATGACAAAGCCACGCATGGTGGCAGATGCCTATAACTTCGGCTACTCTGGAGGCTAAGGCAAGAGGATCCCAAGCTCAAGTCCAGTCTGAACAACTTACTGAGACCTGTCTCATGAAAACAAAACAAAATGGACTCATGTTTAATACTAAATTGTATAGTAGACCCATAAATCCTAAAAAATTCAAAGAATTAATATAATCTGAGAAGTCAGATTTCAGGAAATAGATAAAACCTGTGTTGTCTAAAGGGCAGATAAAGGATCCCTTCTCAGCCTTTTGGCTAGGATCAAGTGTAGTAAAGGACAGACACATGAGAGCAGAGGAGATCAAAAATTTTATCAATGATGGCAGAAGTTCCTACATGAATATTAGCCTCTATAACTGAACTAAAAATCCTAAATAAGTAACTTTATAATTAAAAGGACCTTTAGAGATCTGGTAATACATACCTCTCATTTTATACAGTCTTAGAGAAACTTTTGATAATTAAGGTTATCCAGTTGTTTGTGGCAGATTCTTACTATCCTGCGTTTGAACTAAACCAAACCACTGACTTTTCAACCAAAAGAATGAAAAGGCAAAAACAAAGCCAACCCTCTAAAAAACCCTAATTGTCTCTTCTCACAATTCGTGGTTTCAAATTAGAAGAATCTTATAGCATTTCCCTAGCATGTGTCAGGCCCCAAGCTGAATCCACAGCAGGAAGGATGGACAGAATGGACAGGACATGGATGACAGGAATAAATGAATTTATTTCTAAATTCTAAATAATGTCCCTCTTCTACTTTATATACTATACCTTGGGTGGTTTTTGCAAAGCTAGCTTGTGATGTCTAAGACATTACTCCTATGGACTTGTTTTCCTAATGTCACTCTAGTTGTCTTTCAAAGTAAAAATAGCAGGGTGGGGATTTAGCTCAGTGATTCCGTCACCTGCCTCACAAGTGGACGGACCCAAGTTCAATCCCTGGTACCAAAAAAAAAAAAAGCAAAGTAAAAATGGCGACCATGATTAAATATCTAAGAAAATAATATATGTTCACTACAGAAAAGTTAAATGTCCAAAAATACATTAATTATCAGATGTAGTGGCATGTGCCTGTTATCCCAGGACTCTTGAAGACTGAGGCTAGAGGATCACAAGTTCAAGCGCAGCCTGGGCAATTAAGCAACTCAGGCCCTGTTTCAAAATAAAAAAAGAGTTGGGGAGGTGGGGCCAGGGGCCAAAGATTTATCTCAGTGGTTCCGCCTGCCTCGCAAGCGCAAGGTCCCGAGTTAGATGGCTGGTACAAAAAAAAAAAAAAAAAAGAGTTGGGGAATGAAGCCCTTAATATATTTGGGGTTTGGGCCAGGGATTTAACTCAGTGGTTCTGCTGCCTTCCCCACAAGCATAAGGACTTGAGTTCGATCCCCGGTACCAAAAAAAAAAAATTATTTGGGGTTTAATTTAGATATAGCTATTAGTACTTTAAATCCTGTCCAGAATAAGTTACCATTTATGTTAAAAAGAGTTAAAGCTTTAAGATGCCATTATGGAATGATATATCATTAAACCATACCAATAGTTAATCTTCAAATCCAATCTGCAATATTTCTGCAAGACTTTCATATCACCATGATCATAGTCATCAGTATTATTGTGGAAATGGGGATTGAAGCTAGGACCTGCCTTCTGCTTGAGTTACAGTGCCAGCCCCAGCCCCTAATTTTTAATTTTGAGATAAGGTCTTGCTAACCAGCTAAACTGCCCAGGCTGGTCTCAACCTGCTATCCTACTGTAATAGCCTCCCAAAGTGCTGGAATTATATATATGTACCACCTCTCTCTCATTGAGCAGTTTGTTGTATAATGGAAAGCACTGACTGGAACACATCTTGGTGGTTAGAATTCATCAGTATACCTAAGGACACTGAGGGTAGAAATTCTCCACTGTCTACCCCATTATCTTTTAACACCAGTCCCAATTGTTTTGAAGTTCTATTTTAGTTTACACACAATATTGCACTGTATGGACCACTCTCCTTTTACCTTTCTAAGAAACCTCACCAATTTTAACTTTCCTCTTCCCCACTTCAAAGGCAATAAGGCTACTCACTACTCCTAAAGCTTAGGAATAATGACTTCTTTTAAAAGGCACGTGAGAACCAGGGATTTAGCTCAGTGGTTTCACCGCCTGACGCACAAGTGCAAGGACCTGAGTTCGATCCCCGGTACCAAAAAAATAAATAAAAGGCACGTGAAAAGACGTACAAAATAAATGAATGTCAAAGTCATTCTCCAGGCTCTTCACAAAAGTTAGAACCTCAAGGCAAAGTAAATGCTTCTCATCAAGGAATTTAAGCTAGCTATTTCTCTCTTTGTATTTTTAAATACATGCCCATAAATATGTTGTTCCTTCAAGAGACTTTAAATTTTTGGACCTCCAGTGAAATGTTTTTAAATCTCAAATAAGGAGTCTCTGAAAGTTATTCTCAGAATTTTCTAGTCACCTAGGCATTAACTTTTTATAAGGCTCAAGTGCAAAAATTCATCAAAATCTTTCAATACCTACACAGATAATGTAATAGAAATGGACCACAATGCTACTTTTGAGACAATTACACATTATTAATAATGAAAGAAACTATATATTTTTAATGTAAAAATTTAATGTGGATTTAAATTACTCTTTAATAGCTGGGCATGGTGATGCAAGCCTGTAATTCCAGCAGTCTGGGAGGCTGAGGCAGGAGTGGAAGTACCAAGCTCAAACTGGGCAAGACTGTCTAAATATTTTTTAAAAATTTTAAAGGGCTCAGAATGTAGCTCAGTGAAAAGGTCTGGGTTCAATCGCCAATACTACAAAAAAATAAAGTTACCATTTAGTTCTACGATGCATAATTTTAAAAAGGAAAATCTATAGGTAGCATGCCTGTCCCTCAACAATAACAATTCTAATAAATTTAATACTGCACAAGAAATGTTTACAAGCTTTAAAATGTCATTCATTAAAAATAGCAGAAGTAAAAAGTCATTTTTGTCTCATTTTTCAGCAGAACATATATACAGTACTATGAATTTTGAAAACAAGATATAATTAAAGATGCACTATTCAAGATAAGTACTAACACATCACTCTTACAACCTTCTGAAGTTCACTTTATTCTGGGCATTGGCCCCAAGACCTCTATTTTACAAGTCACTGAGTTACATGGCCAGTAATTATACTGACTGTATTTTCATAATTTTGTGTAGGACACAAAGTACATTACTTTATCATCATTAGTTAATCATCACTTATAATTGCCTCCTAAGTTTTAGGGGCACAGCCTACAAAGCAGGAAGTGATATACCCTAAAGAAACAAAATGATGCCTTTGCTTAGGAGGCACTGAGGCAGGAGCACTGCTGAGAGTTTAAGGCCAGCTGGCTCCATACTTCAAGGACAGCCTAAACTACAAAGCGATATCCTGTCTCAAAAGAACCAAAAATTTGATCACTTAGGAGGAAGATGTCATCAGACTTGGATTCCAACCCAACCTCTGACTAATATTAACTTCTACTACACCTTCTGTCTAGTACATTGTGACTACAAGTTTTAAAGATCAATGTTTGCCAGGGCCGGGGATATAGCTCAGTGGTTTCGCCGCCTGCTGCGCAAGCGCAAGGACCCGAGTTTGATCCCCGGTACCAAAAAAAAAAAAAGATCAATGTTTGCCACCAAGAATATTGTTATGGTAGTACTTTAAAAAGGAGATAAGGATGACAAAGGAATGCATTCGCTATCGACTTTGAAATAAGTATAATGGTCAAACAAGCAATTTGAAATGCTTACTCAAAAGAGACGAGATTACTTTATGGTTATTTCAAGACTCATAGAACCCTACTATTCAAAGCACATGTGACGGTTTCTCAAAGATAACATCTGTAAACATTCATAAAAGATAAGAATCAAAGCAGTTTTAAAGTTTATGAAAGCTCCAACTAAATAGAAAAGGAAAGAACACATATCATATTTCCGGGGAAGCCTCAGGTCACAAATTAACGATGATGAACTTGATTCCTAAATTACCTTTTCTAGCATCTTCCGCTCTCTTTCAAGTCCTGCAGCCTCAAGCTGTTCTTCCTCCTCTAGCATGGCTGGGGTAATCACGGCAGTCTCCGGTTGTCCAACCATTTCTGCAGCTAGGAAAATAGTTTTAAACTGTAATTTTAAAAGTTACCAACTACTCAAGCTCGATGCATTTAAAGCAAGAACCAAAGACCTACGGGGCGCCAGCATCACCTCTCAGAAGATACTAGGTCTCCACATCACCACCAATTTTTCCTGACCTCAGTTAATAAACTGGGATGCTCGGGAAAACCCAGCTCTCCGTCTAAAGTTCTCTATGCCAGGCAAATAGGTGCGACTGCTAGGTGCCCTCCACTCACTTGCCCACAGCTTCTCAACCTCCCCCCCCCCCCCCCCCCGCCCCGCACCAGCCCCGGAGTCAGCTCCATCCCCCACGTTCCGCCGTAGCCTCCAAGCCTCCCATCCCCGCCTGGAGCGCCGCCCGCAGGAAGATTCTCATCACTCACGGCCGCTGCTCGCGGGCCTCTCCGCGGGCATGGCTGCACGCTCACCAGGAACCTGGTTGACTCCTCTTGGAATCCGCAAGGCCGCGTGACAATTACCTACACAGAGACCGGCAGCCGGCTTTCTAACCAAATCCCGGGCCAGGGAAAAACGCGCGCTTCTCCTTCGCGGGAAAATCCTTTGGTCTCGCGATAATTCTAGCTCCCCGCCCGCCCCTGCCGAGGCTACGCGAGATTTGTTGTGGTCCGTGCTTTTGTCGGGGGCCACCGGGGCCAAGCAATGAGCGATTACCTAGGTTTCTTCGCAAAACGAGATGTTGCTGAATCTAGCCTTTAGCGCTGTCCTATCAAATTGTCTAGTGGCTGGGAAGGCCCATTTCGTCATGTACAGATTTTGATCATGGTTCCGGACTAAGCTTGACATCTCACACTGGCAGATGTGACTGAATTCCCCCAGCCAATGATCCTTTAGGAAAGATGCACTAGTATGCAGGTGCGGATGTCCAACAAGAATACTGCCAAGCTTTCCAGCCACTCACCAAGTGTAGTTCACATTTTTCAGTGAAAATCCTCCGGAAATGGCCTAGAGAAGGGTTCTTGCGGGTGGGGAGAGGGGAAATAGGAAATTCAGATTATGGCAGGATTCGAGAAAGTTTTTTAGGATAAGGGAAAGCTGAATGCAGTGCTAACAAAGCCAGCAGAAGATTCAGGAACCAAAAAGCAATAGAGTGGGTGCTAAAGGAGCGGGATGTTTCTTTTTTTTCTCTTAAGCCTTCAAGTCCATTTTTTCTTGTCTATAATCCTTCACAAAGATTTCTTTTGCCTCCGCTCTCCCCACCCAGTTTCTCAATTTATGGTATGACTGTTTTCATTTCTGACTCAACTATTTTAATGATTGTATCTGTACACAATTTAAAACTTTATGATTCACGTCCTACATAATCATCTTCAGCAACCTTCTAACACTATTAACAAAACAGATTATTTTTATTCCCACATTGCAGGTGAGAAAACTGATGAAGTGTAACCTCAATTACTCCTAAACCCTACCTCCACCTCCAGATGTATCTCAATAGTGTAATGCCGTATTACTTTGTCATGCTTTTGCTTCTGATTTGATTTTTAAAACTACTTATATGAACCCTTGAAAGGTAAACATGGGCTTGGGATGTACCTCAATGGTAGAGTCCTTGCTTAACATATGCAACACCCTGGTTCAATCCCCAGTACTGCAGAATATTAAAAAAAAGAAAATCAAAGAAACATGTCTCATCTTTGAGACTGCTACAGATGAAATATGAAAATATATCTCCCAACCTATTAGATGTCTGGTATGTAGTTTGTATTCTCTAAAATCAAAGAATGAATTCTAGGAACAACAGAGGTTAAAAGTAGGAAAATATTTATTGAGGGAGAAAGATACAGCTCCTGAGAGAGACAGGAGAAGACTTCACTTTACAGGGAAGATTTTTGTTTTGTTTTGGTACCAGGGATTGAATTCAGGTCCTTGAGCTTGCAAGACAGGCGGTGGAACCACTGAGCTAAATCCCCAGCCCTACAAGGACGTTTTATAGAGCAAAACCCATGTGGGTACAACGGGGGATACAGCTATGATCAACCAATAAGATTACAAGTATAGACCGTTAGGTAATAGCGATCCAGCAAGGAACAGGGAAGCAAGTCAAGTAGCAAGAGTACATGGAAAGAACAAAGAACTTCTCAGATAGGTGATGGACCTGGGGGTCTTGGTCACCCATTGAGGGGACTGATGCCTATCTAGTATATGTGTTGCCGAAAGTGAGAAGTGTGTAGGCCTGGTCCTTTTTTCGTTATTTTGTTTTGTTTTGTTTTTTTTGGTACCGGGGATCGAAATCGGGTCCTTGCGCTTGCGCAGCAGGCGGCGAAACCTCTGAGCTAAATCCCCGGCCCTTTTTTTCGTTATTTTGAGGCCTGGCCTCCAGCTGATGTGTCTCCAGCCACAGTTGTAGGGTGTTTTTACCTTTTGTCCTGACTTTTTGAGGGCTCAGCCCTGTCTTAACTGTCTATTGTATTTATATGTAACTTAGCTGTCTATAGTAAGACTATACATCTTATGATCTTGCTCCAGATCCTCTAATGGCGTAATAAAAATCTAAACTCTTTATTTGGGCCCAAGAAATCTTAATTGATCTGATCTCTGCCCATCTCTCCAGTTTCAAAGACCATTCAACCTCACTTTTTTTTCCTTGTGGTACTGGCAATTGAAACCAGAAACTTGCACATACTAGGTAAGCACTCTACCACTGAGGTACATTGCCAGCCCAAACTTCACCCTTTTATACACAATGGACTTCTTGCCATTTCTTAGTCTCTTAACCTCGAGTCTGTCCAATCTTTTACTCTTGTTTTTCCACCTGAAAGATGTCTAGGTCTTTGTATGGCTTATATTTTCATTTGATTCAGATCCCCACTTAATGTCATTTTCTCAAAGAACTTTTCTCTAAACACTTATCCTGTATTCTCATGAACTTATTCTTCATATCTTGTTCTAATTATCTATTACTCATCACCATATGATATCATTTGTTTGTTGCTTGTACTACAGTGTAAACTCAGATCTGAAACATTGTCTATTTTATTTACTATTGAGTCGCTAGTACCCAAAATAGTTCCTTGCTTTGCCTGTGATAGATATGGTTGGATTGTTTTTATTTTGGTGTCTGTCATTGAATTTATCTTTCATTTACAACTGTCATTTAAGAAAGATTATGCAGCTCACCAGACACTCAAATTACTTCTGGTTCACTTAGAAATTTCAACATTTAAAGGTTGGTTAGAAGAAAATAACTAGTAGGGGTCAAAAATAGGAGAACTAGGGCCGGGGATTTAGCTCAGTGGTTCCGGCGCCTGCCTTGAAAGCGCAAGGTCCGGAGTTTGATCCCCGCTACCAAAAAAAAAAAATAGGAGAACTGGCCAGGGATTTAGCTCAGTGGTTCTGACACCTGCCTCACAAGCTCAAGGTCCTGAGTTTGATCTCTGGTTCCAAAAAAAAAAAAATAGGAGTATTGAGCTGGGCTGTGATGTATGCTGGTAATCACAGCTACTTTGAAGACTGCAACAATTTAGCTAGACCGTTTTCTCAAAAAAAGGCTGGGGATGTAGGTCAGTTGCAATCCCAAGTACTGTCCCCCTAAAAAGGGGTATGGGGTTGGGATTGTAGCTTACTGGTAGAGCGACTGCCTAGGATGCAAAAATCCAAAGAGGGATAGTAGAAGATTATGGAGTCAGAAAAGACAAGGGACAAAATATTTCCACAAAGGATTAACAGTGTTACAAGGGACAGTTCAAAACACATTTTTCAAAAGAAGATATATAAATGGCCACAGATATATGAAAAAAAAAGTTCAATAAAACTAATCCAGGAAATGCCAATCAAAACCACAATGAAGATCATCTTACTCCAATTAGTATGGCTATTATAAAAAAGACAAAAGATGCCGGGGATTTAGCTCAGTGGTTTTGCCACCTGCCTCGCAAGCACAAGGTCCCGAGTTCGATCCCTGGTCCCAAAAAAAAAAAAAAGAAAAAGACAAAAGATAGTAAGTACTGACTAGGATGTCGAGAAAAAGGAACATTGCACATGTTGCTAGGAGTATGAATTAGTACAATCTTTGTGGAAAACAGTATGGAAGTTCTCAAAAAATTAAAAACAGCTGGGTGTGGTGATGCACTCCTGTGACCCAGCACTAAGGAAGGCTGCAGCAGGAAGACTACAAGTTCATGTCTACCCTGGGCAAATAAATTAGTGACTTAGGGTTAAAATAAATAAAAAATGGACTGGAGACAAAAACTCAGTGTGGACACCATGGGTTCAAATCCCCAGTACCTCAAAAATAAATAATAACGGAATTAGCATATGATCCAGCAATCCCACAACTGTGTATATATCCAAGAAAGTCTTCTTTTGGTACCAGAGATTGAACTCAAGACCTTGTGCTTGCCAGGCAGGCACAGTGCCACTGAGCTACGTCCCTAGCCCCCAGCCCCCATGAGTATATATCCAAAAGAAATGAAATCGGTCTATTGAAGACACTTCTATATGCCCATGTTTAATGCAGCACTATTCATAATAACCAAGAAATGCAAACAATCCAAGTGTCCATCAACTGATGAATGGATAAAGAAAATACAGTATGTATATACCACGTAAAACTATTCATTAAAAAAGAACGAAGAAAAAATATGAAATATACAAACAATTGAAACACCATTTTCATATTATCTTCTGTATTTTAGGAAAGCTTATTTTTAGTTGAAAATATACTTTAACCAAAAAATGGAAAACCTGACAAACACTGACCATGAAAATAATCATTTATTGCCTGTATATAAGGTTGAAGGGAGGAAAACACAGTACAGTATTTTAGCTGCTAGTACTGAAAGTCTCAAAAGACTGAAAGCGTAGTACATCCTTTGGAAGAAAAATCTGCCTTCTCCCTATCCCCTGCCAAAAAAAGGGTATTTTTTCCCCTCCAGATGTAGTTAACTAAACCAGATATCCCCAAAGTAATGAAGACTCATTTTCAAGTAATTACTCTGCTCACAAGTTTTATTTACACAGTAATTGTTACTAGTGGTTTTCAGTGAATTCCTTGTACTTACATTTTATATACACATTTATATATGCAAGGTAAAGAAACTGTACAATAATAAAAAATAAGAAAAAATACAGTAAATACATAAAAGTAAGATTAAATTTAGGCAGGTCATAAAACCTCAATGAGATTACTGCCAGAGGTTATATTCCCTCTATCAGGGACACCAATACCAAGGAAACTGTTACCAGAGTTGAAAGGTCATCTTAAAACCTATTAAAACCCTGGACACTCCCTCAGTATTTTATCACTTAACACTAAGCAAGCCCCTGTGACAGGAGTTAACTTCTGAGGGTTCCACTAGTAGTCCCTAGGCTAGAATGACCCATAGGGTAAAAATATATGGGCACCCCCTGGTCCCATACTCCTACTAAAGAGGCAGTCACTATACTAACAAGGATCTCAGGCTTGTTAGTTTGAAGATTACACACACAGACATCACTAACAGAAATAGTGTGCTTAATATTGCAACACAAAAACTATAAATTTAATCATTAGCCACACAGTATGTTATACAGATAACACTTATAACACTTAAGTGATTTAATTTAGGTTCGAAACTTAATACATTTAATGCCAATTTATCGATGATTAATAATGTATTTGCTATGCCATCAGAGTTAGACTCAGAAAAAAAGTTAATTTTTCCCTTTTATTTCCACTGATTAGAAAAAATTATGCATAGTATTTCATAAGTCATGGACTTAGCTAAGTATAAGCTTTCAAATTTCAAACAAATTAACAAATTTTGCTTCTATAAACAGAGAAAGACTTTTAACTAAAAAATTTAGTATTTTCAAGTAGTATGCTACTTAAGAACTCCCAGAATTCATTACTTTTTACTCTTACCAGTGAAAAGCCTCATTTATATTTTTAGACTTACTCTCAAAGTCGTCTTCAGTCCACTAAAGTGCAAATAACTTTCATTCTACTAATTAATTTTCTTAATGTTACATTACTGTTTGAACAATTTGTCAGATTAGAAGCTGAAAGGCTAAAATTCTTTCAGTGACAAGAATTCCTTAAGGAAGATAAATTCCCTTCAAGGACAAATAGAAACAACTGTGGTGGTACAAAACCTAAACAAACAAACAATCTTCCACCAGTATTTCCAGTTCCCAGATAATTCACATTTTCTCCACTTGCCAACGAAGATAACTTCAGTGACTTAGTGTACATACAAAGTTGCTTATTCTTGGTCTATAATACAATCTTCAAAAGTTTGGAACTAGAGATAACATCTGTATTACAGCATTTTGGAGGTTAAAGTAATATGGAACAATTCTACTCTGACCTTCAAAGAGCTTCTGTGGTAATTATGAAAGAAAAAATGTAAAAATTTGAAGAATCTCCAAAGCTATTTAAAAAATTCATTGCATTAAACTGTTCATTCCAAATTATGGATTCTAAAATAGCCATTTAAACTTTTTCCTCTGAAAAAATGGGTATCCCTACAAAATACTTTTTTTTCATTAATACTGTCAATAAATTACTCATTTCATTACTTTGGCCATGGAATTTTGAACCAGATTCATGATTTCCACTTCATGATTCTTTTTAATTTCTCCAACATTTTCTTCGATCCTTTTTACATAGGAAACAAAAAGGACTTGTACTCCTCCAAAAAAAGTTTATATTTCCATTAGTCTGTTAATTTTGAAGATTAGCTTTTTAGAGCAGGACTGGTGTTCTTCTCTCCTTCTTTAATATCCTTCAAAACAGATGCAAAGACCTGGAAATTAAATAAAATAAAGATTAATCCTCAAAAACTACCACCCAAACTGATAATGTAAGTTGGTGGTACAGTGCTTGCCTAGCATGCACGAGGCCCTGGTTTCCATCCCTAGCACCAATAAAAAAGATTGGGGAAAAAAAAGAAAAGAAAAACCTACCACCCAAATTAGAGATTTAAATAACTATAGCGCTTATTAACATAAAAAAGCTTTAGCACACTTAACTCTATCCCCTGAAAGATTGTTATTCTCAATCCTCTTGGTTTTTTTGTTGTTGTTGTTTTGTTTTGTTTTTTTTGGTACAGGGGATCCAACTCGGGTCCTTGTGCTTGTGAAGCAGGCAGTGGAACCACTGAGCTAAATCCCCAGCCCTATCCTCTTGTTTTTTTAAATCCAATTATATAAAATATGATTATATTACAGTGTTCATCAATTGCCTAATATTCTGATCTGGTAACAGCACGTATTCTGAACCAATATTCTTACATTTCATTTTCATGAGCAATCATTGATGGATCAAGTAATAATGCTTCTTTTATGTCATTTAATTTAGATGGGCAGTATGTTTGCTTCCTTAACAAGATTAAGCATCTGAACTGGGTGTGGTGATTCACACTTGTAATCCTAGCACTTGGAAGGCTGAGGCAGAAGGATCGCCACAAGTTCAGGGCCAGCCTGGGCTAACAGTGAGCTCAAGGCCAGTCTGAACTACATAGCAAGACCGTCTCAAAAAAAAAAAAAAAAATAACCATTTAAAAAGCCAGGATCATATATTAGAAAACTCTTAGTACATAGCAGTGTTTATTAAAATTGTTACGTATTTGAAATAACAAACTAATTATATAACAGCTCTGGGAAAAAATGACTTTTGGGCCGGGGATTTAACTCAGTGGTTCCAGTGCCTACCTCAAAAGCGCAAGGTCCGATCCCTGGTACCAAAAAAAAAAAAAAGAAAGAAAGGAAAAATGACTTTTGTGGGTTGTAGCTCAAAAAAGCTGGTGGATTCACATGATAATGAAACCCTAGGTTTGGAGAGATGGAAGAGGGACAGTCTATTTTGAACTCTTGCTTTTTCAAAGCCAAAAATTATTTTTCAAAGATAACATTTATTTAAGCACTAACACTTGAGAAATATATAACTTTTTTTTTTACAAAAAGTCAAAGGATTGTTTTAACACATTAGAAGTAAAAATATTTCACTGTACCTGAGTCCATTTTTTGGTGCTGTTCTGCATCTGAATCGCTGCAATACAGCTGAACAGCTTTTCTGATGTGATATCCTCTGGTAATTTAGTTAGAAACTGTGCTATATGAATAAAGTCCATCTGTAGAAGAATATCTTCATATAACCGGAGGATTCCTAATCCTGTCCTAAATAAAAATTCCTCCCCATCTCTGCAAAATACATCCCAGACTCGACAGGCCAGATCCAGTGGTAGCGATTTGCTATATAGTGTGAAGATCCTAAAATTAGATGGAAAACAGTCATTGAACTTTTTCACTTACTGATTCATTAAGCATACCTATAGGAATAAAAACAGTGTTTAACTAGGGATAAAAAAGCAAATAAAATATGCCTCTTCCCTCAATCTTGAATAGCAGGAAATAATAATACGTAATAAAATTATATAAATTTACCTTACACTGAGGAAAAGCCCAATACAATCAAGAGTGGTTAAAGGTATGGGCTTTGAAACCAGAATAAGAAAGCTTGAAGTTTGAATTTGCCATTTAATTATATGAACTTGAGTGAGATATTTAGCCTCATTGTACTTCAGTTTCCTCATTAGTAAACTAAAGATATTACCTACCTTAAGATCAGTCTGAAAACTACAAGAGTTAATAAAGTGCTTAGAACAGTGTCTGACACACAAGAAATGATTAGGACTAGGGTTGTAGCTCAGTGGTAGACTGCATGCTTAGCATATGCAAGGCTCTGGGTTTAATCCAAGCACAAAAAAAGAAAAGAAATGCTTATTATTTTATGAGAAACCCAAATCCCATCTTTTAGGAACATAATACAAACCCATAAAATCTGACTTTCTCTTTTCCTTTCCATAAACATCCATCATTTTGTTTTCCAACAGAATCACTGAAATGGTTTTGCTCTTCCTTTCTGACAATCTCTCACCATGAAATTCTTTATTCCATGGCCTTTCAGGTGGCATTAGGGATGGGGGAGTTGGAAGCATAGGTACTAGAATGCTTGTCTTGAAGTTGCCTTGTCAAAGAAAGAAAGGACGTAACTTTTTTTTTTCTTTTTTGGTCGTACTACTGGGGTATGAACCCACGGCCTTCTCACTGAGCTACATTCCCCTTGCTAAGACCCTAAGTTGGCCAGGCTGGGCTTGAAATTGCAATCTTCCTTCCTCAGCCTCCTAGAGCGCTGGGATTACAGGTATATGCCACTAGACCTGGCCAGGATACAACTTTTTACTTTGATTGCATGTTTATTTGAGATAATGCTGAGGAATTTGAGGAAGGGAGCTAAAAGCTATTTTTATAAACAACAAACAAAAAACCCTTAGTGCTATCATTTACTCATTTTCCCTTGAAAAAATGATTTTGAGATTTCTATATAATAAGTTCAACAAAGGTAGTGAAAAAATCCATCTCTACTTTTAAAATTATAAACATTTAATTGCATAACAAAAGGCATACTCTTGGTACTACAAAAAATACTAACTTTACTGTTAAAAATGATAAAGGGTATAAGAAGTGCCTAGACAGTTGCTAATACACAGTACTCATTCTCTACATCAGCTGTGACCCTAACATGTCCCATGTTTCTCAAGATTGACAATTGAGCATTTTTTTTAAATCCCTTCCTGAGAGAATTAGTATCTAATCTTGGTTCTTTGGGTTTCATGATTATCTTGGGTCCTTCCTAGAGGAACACTAAGGTTCCTAGTGGAAATTGAGGTGTATACATTAAAAACTAACTTTTAAAAAAACCCTAAATAAATGAAGGGCCAAATTAGAAAGACATCACATTTGATCAACTTATTTTAGGATTAATTGCTCCATCTCTTTGGCAAAATTTTTTAGCCATTCTAAAATCAATTGGCTACTACTCACCAGGTAAACCCTCCATATTAGAACAGCAAGTTTTGTAGAATTCAGCAGTGAAGCCATCAGGGCCCGGGCTTTTCTTCATTGGTAAGTTTTTAATTACATTTTCAATTTCATTGATTGATATTGGGTTGTTCAGAATTTTTAGGTCTTCTTTGTTCAACTTTGGTAATTCGTATGTATCTAGAAATCTGTCCATTTCTTCTGTGTTTTCCATCTTATTGGCATATAGGTTCTCAAAGTAGCTATTGATGATCCTCTGGATTTCTTCTGGATCTGTTGTAATTTCACCCTTTTCATTCCTGATTGCATAGATTTGGGCCTTTCCTTTCCTTTTTCTGATAAGGTTGTCTAAGTGTTTGTTAATTTTGTTTATTCTTTCCAAGAACCAACTCTTGGCTTCATTGATCTTTTGTACTGTTCCGTTAGTCTCCATTGCATTGATTTCTGCCCTGATCTTTATAATTTCCTCCCTTGTATGAGCTTTAGGTTTGTCCTGCTCTTCTTTTTCTAGAAGCTTGAGGTTCAGCATTAGGTTGTTTATTTGACCTCACTCTGTTTTTCTAATATGAATATTCACTGCTATAAATTTCCCTCAGACTGCTTTCATTGTGTCCCATAAATTCTGATATGTTGTACTGGCATTGTCATTTAATTGTAGAAACTATCTGACTTTTTCTTTAATTTCCTCTGTGTCCCATTGGTTGTTCAGGAGTGTGCTGTTAAATTCCCACGCGTTTATAAAATTCTTGTCGTTTCTTTTGCTATTGATGTCCAATTTCATTGCACTATGATCTGATACTATACAGGGGATAACTTCAATTCCTTTGCATTTACTTAAACATGTTCTATGAGCAAGTATGCAGTCCATTTGGAGAATGACCCATGTGCAGCTGAAAAGAATATTCTGATTTTGTGGGGTGGAACACCTTGTAAACATCTGTGAAGTTCATTTGTTCAAGAGTTTGATTGAGTTCTAGTATTTCCTTAGTTTCTGTCTAGTTGATCTATTTATGACAGTGGGGTACTGAGGTCCCCCACTACTATTGTATTAGTACTTATTTAATTTTTCATGTCCATTAATATTTGTTTTATTTATTTGAGTGCACTAGTATGTGATGCATATATATTTATGATTGTTATCTCTTCCTCTTGGGTTATTTTCTTTACAAGGATGTAGTGGCCTTCTCAGTCTCTCTTAATTAGTGTTGGTTTCAAATCCATTTTATCTGCAAAGAAGAAAGCTACTCCTGCTTTTTCGGGGGGTTCCTGTCACATGGAGTATTGTTTCCCACCCTTTAACTTTCAGTCTATGAGTTTCCTTTTGAATTAAGTGTGTTTCTTGTATGCAGCATATTGTTGGATCTTGCTTCTTGATCCATCCTGCCAGTCTATTTCTTTTGATTGGTGAATTGAGACCACTGACACTGATGGTTATAACTGATATGTATTGACTTATCCTTGTCATGACCTTTTCCTGTTGTTGGATTCTCCCCCTTTACATTTAATTTCTTGTCTTGCCTCATGGATTCACTCTGCTGGGCTTCCTGTGCTTGTGATCCTCATTGTCTTTTCCTAGGATATTGTTTAAAATTTTTTGGAGTGCTGGTTTGGTATTCATGAAGTTTCTCAGGTGTTCTTTGTTGTGAAAGTATCTTTTTTCTCCATCAATTATAAAAGATAGTTTTGCAGGGTACATCAATCTGGGTTGGAAATTATTTTCGTTTAGGGCTTGAAGTATTTCCTCCAGGCTCTTCTTGCCTTGAGGGTTGTGTTGAGTAGTCTGTTGTGATTCTGATGGGCTTTCCTTTATATGTGATTTGTTTCTTTTCTCTAACTGCTTATAGTATTTTGTTCTGTTGGGTTTCAGGGATCTTGACTATTATATGCCAAGGTGTAGATTTTTTTTAATCACAGCTAGTCGGAGTCCTATATACCTCACTTATCTGTATATCAAGTTTTTTTCCCTGCTTGGGAAGTTTTCTGCCATTACTTCTGTGAACAGTTTTTTTATGTTGTTTGTACTATCTCCTGTTTCTGCACTCACTCTCATCAGTTTGTAATAGCTAAAACTTGGAAACAGTACAACTGCCCATCAACTGGAGACTGGATAAAGAAGATGTGATTTTTAAATAAAATGTAGTACTACTCAACCATAAAGAATGAGAAACCAGAGACATTTATAGCTAAATGGATGCACATTGAGGCCATACTTTTGAGTGAAATAAATAGGACACACATGTGTAAATACTGAATAGTTTCTCTGGTGTGAAAAACTGAAAGTGTAAATAAGGATCCAAATGTATAATAGATAATGTGAAATAGGAAGAAAAGGTCGAAAAGAGAAGGGCAAGAGGAACTGGGAGGGATACGGGAAGGGAAGGAAAAGAAAGGAATAAATACAAGAGAATGAAAAAATGGAAACAAAGTCTTTATAAATAGGGAGGGGTGGAGGGGTTGAAGGGAGAGCAGGGGAATGGAAAAAAAAAAAAAAGAACCAAGATACATCATCTAAAGGTACAAATTCCCAATGATGAATGTCATCATACTGTATACCTAAAATGTACCAATAAACTTAATGAATTTTTTAAAAAGAACAGAGAGTTTTGAATTGGAAAGATGAAAAAAGACATTAGCACCTAAATAAAGTATCATTTCTCTGTCAGAAAGCTAGATAAGGGCTGTGGATTTAGCTCAGTGGTTTCGCCGCCTGCTGCGCGAGCACAAGGACCCGAGTTCAATACCCCCCCAGTACCAAAAAAAAAAAAAAGAAAGCTATGATAAGTCTTGAAAAACAGGTCTTAGTAAAGATATATTATCATAATTCCTTATATGGTAAGAATAAAGGAACAGCAATAGCAATCTTTCTGAAAGCTTAACATATGCTAGGCACTGAATGAGACAATCCATGTAAAACACTCAGACTATAAATCAAGATACAGATATTACTATTCCATTTTTTAGATAAGAAAATAAAATAAACTGAAAAATTCTAATTACAACCCAGATTCCATGCTCTTAATCAAATACGTTCCCACAAAAATATGGGAATTCTTCTTTTTCTAAAATAAGATTCTTCTACATGTATTATCCCATGCATGAGATTTAGTATAGTTCTAAAACACATAAAAAGTTAGATTATTTCTTTTTCATTATCATTTGTTATTTATGTTATGACTTACCAGTCTATCAAATATATATCTGGTGTAAGACTGTAAGATTTGAAATGAAGAAATAGTTTGGAGAGATTTTCTTCAAAGAATACTTCAAATGTTGCAAAATATTTCAACATCTATAGACAGACAAATCAATAAAATTATGAAAAGCTATACTCTAGAAATAGAGATAAATCCTTAAATTTTAATAGCACATTTTGTGTATTAGCACTGAATCTTCTCATCAAATAGTCCTTAAAACTACAGTTCAATGAAATGTTTATATTCAGATTATCTTAAGTCTTCTAATTATTGGTTTGTATTGTTTTTACTCTTTTTTTGTTGTTTTTTTTTATTTTTTGAGAAGGTACTGCTTTGTAGTTCAGTCTGGCCTTGAACTCACTATGTAGCCCAGCCTGCCTTCAAACTCATGGTGATCCTCCTGCCTTAGCCTCCCAAGTGCTGGGATTACAGGCATGTGCCACCATGTCTAGCTCTGGTTTTACTCTTAAGGGGACATTCAGAATACAGAAGCATACAAACATAATCCTCTCCAAATGTTCATACCATGCTGTGATCCACACGAAAAAAGGCCAATTGGCATGGCTTATTCAGTAGATTTGCAAATGCAATGAAGGCATCTGCTTCTTCCAAATTGAGAATAAGTACTGCTGCAATGAAGGACATCCCTTGGACCTTCAAAAGTAAAAGAAAATCAAAATGGATTTAAATAATTCTATATGCTTTATTGTACTCTTGAAGAATTAGTCACATTACAAAAATTTACCAAGATTTTTTTTCTTTCTACTAAAGAGAACTCCTCAAATTATGAAATATCCCTATTTCTACATTGCTTGTTCATATGTTATGATTTAAATACTACTAGGGAAAATTTTTAGAAAAAAATTATCAGCTTTTTCTTGCTACAAAAGCCTACCTCAGTATACTACCTATTTAGTTTGTATTTCCTATTGGTCTGAATTCTTTCAAAATAAATGTATAGTCACAAAATTTAGTGAAAATCAGGTGATTGTTTTCTTCTTATAACACAATTCCAAGACAGCAGGGGTTGTAGGGGTTGAGATAGCCTGGATTCCTGGGAAAGCAAGAGAGAGAAATGGAAAAAAACCCATTCCAAAATGGAAAAGACGCACTGGTAAAGAAAGAGAAAAATGGGAACAACAGGACCAGCCTAGTTGAAGCATAAAGATTTATAATGAGAATAATGGAAGTGTTTGGGGGAAGTAGGTTATACTCATGTGATAGAAGGCCTTGAGTAAAAGGCTAAGACATACAGATGCTTATGTGTGAGTTATCAGAAACAATTACACATCTCTAATTAAAAAAATAAAAAAGTTGTCAAGCACTTGGGCTAGAGATTTGTATGATAGACTTACACAGGTAGATCATGAGGAATAGCCATCTGTTTTGAAAGAGCTGCGTACAATCACAATCTGTCCTTTTTTGCTTTTTAATTTACTTCAGTATGGATTTCCACTCCACTGCTACATTATGTTGAGACTTCTCTTGCTAGCATGACTAGTGATGTTCATTGTAAAGCCCAGCAGGAACTCACAGCATTCTCTTAGCTTCTGTGATTCAGTATTTCTTTGTTCTCCTCCTACTTCTTTGGGTTTCTCTGAGTATTCTTTGCCTATTTGATCTTCTAGAGTATAAACTGCATGAATATATAGACACTATAGGAGGCAGAATAATTGTCCCTTAAAGACATTCATGTCCTAATCCTCAGAACCATGAAAATGTTACAATACATGGTAAAAGGGACTTGACAGATGTGATTAAGTAAAACCTTGAAATGGGAAGATTATCCTGGATCATCCCGGTGGGCCCAAAACAATCATCACAAAGAACCTTGTAGTGAAAAAGGAAGTCAGAAGGGCCAGGGATTTAGCTCAGTGGTTTTGCTGCCTGCTGCGCAAGCGGCAAGGACCCAAGCTCGATCCCTGGTACCGAAAAAAAAAAAAAAAAAAGGAAGTCAGAAGAGTCAAGAGAGAAACCTTAAATTCTGATGAAATTCTGAACTATTGGCTTTCAAGACAGAGATATGGGACCAGAGCCAAAGAATATAGGCAGCCTCTAAAAGACGTAAAAGGAAAAAAAATGGTTTCTGCTCTGGGCCCACAGAAGGCAAACAGGTCCACCAATTCCTTGACTTGAACTCAGTAAAATCTCTTTCAAATCTCTGCAGAACTATCAAACAAATTTGCACTGTTTGAACCCACTAAATTTCTGGTAATTTGGTATAACAACAATACGAAAGTAATAGAGAAACCAGACAGCATCTGTTTGTTCATAGTTGTATTCTTAGTACTACAATATTTACTGAATGAATATAAGGGGCAAAGTGTTAATCATCAGTAACAGAATGGTAGCAAAGCAAATAGAGGGGATTAAAGTTATACTTAATTGAATTTAAGATGCTATTAATTTGATATATTATTTTATATACTATGAAAAATGCAGCCAATTAAACAACGGCAATGTTTTATCACTTATTTTTAATTTATGCATATTCATGAAGCTATTTAAGCCCATTCAGATTTATATCATATATCACTCTTGTGCATATATGAAAGGGAAATAAAAAGATTTACACTGTTTGAGAAGTCTTTTATTTACCTACTCATGGTGTGATGCAATGAAAAAGACCTTTCATTTATGATAGTATTCCTGTCAAAAATGTTTAACTTGAATCTAATCATGAGAAATCATAATAGAATTTAAATTCCACTGGATGTTTTTAAAGAAGTATAAAATGTCCAGTGCTAAAAGTGGAATCCTTTATAATTAAACTTACAATACAAAAAATTTAAATCTCAGCTTAAATATGTGTAAGGAATACACTGAATACCTGCCCAAGACAGTTTGAAAACTGCTCAAATTGCACTTTCACCATAAAGACAATCTCACCACTTTTTAAAATACTACAACCTGTTCCACCCCTAATCTAGCCCTTCCTCTCTTTACCATCCCATATTTTTGCCATAGTGCTTTATCATCTTTTATTTCTTTTTTTTTTTTTTTTGGTACTGGGGATCGAACTCAGGTCCCTCCGCTTGCAAGGCAGGCGGCAGAACCACTGAGCTAAATCCCTGGCCCTTATCATCTTTTAATATGGTATGATTTACTCGTTTATTGTTTCCCCCTTCTAAACTAAACATTATAAGAGGAATAATCTTTTGTTCTCTAAAGTATCTCGTGATTAGAACAATGCCTAGCATGTAGTATTAATAAGCATATAAATATGCATTTGAGTGCATGAATGAACAAACACAAAAACAAACATGCAACAGAACCAAATACCTTGTACCAGACAGCTGCCTTACAATGATGCCTCTAAAATTCAATTAAAGGTGACAAGGGCCGGGGATATAACTCAGCAGCACAACGCCTGTCTAGCATAGCAAGCGCATGGTTCTGAGTTTGATCCCCATTACCAAAAAAAAAAAAAAAAAAGAAAGAAAAGACAGGGATGTAGCTCAGTGGCACTATGCCTGCCTGGCAAACACAAGGTTCTGAGTTTGTTTCCCAGTACAAAAAAAAAAAAAATGAGAAAATGAAGGTTTTGTAACTTCTGGTTAAACATGGCAATTGAATACTCTCATGTTTCTTTGTTCCCTCCTAAAACTCAACTAAAATGATAGTAAAGAAAAAACTGAGAGCCAGGTGTGGTGGCACATGCCTGTAATGGCAGCACTGAAGCAGAAGATCACAAGTGGAAACTCAGCCTGGGCTACATAGTAGGTTCAAGACCAGCTTGGGTTACAGTGAGACCTTGTCTCAAAAAAAAGAGAAGAGAGAGCATTAAAAGAAAGAAGTATTAACGTATTAAGAAGACAAAGAGAATGGAAAAGAATATAAATAATCGATAAAAGATGTCAATAGCATTTTAGGAATTTAATTAAGTGGAGAATGTTGAAACTAAAGATCAGAGGAGGAAGCCAATAATCAACAAGCCAATTCAGCCACAAAAACCTGAAGTTACAAGGTATCTCTAAAATTGAAGATTAGAGCTAAAAATAGAATTGGCTGTCAGTAAAAGTAGCAAATCCCTCCCCTATCCTGTATGGACTGGTGCCTACACTTTAACCTGGCAGAACATAAGAACTTTCTTCTACAGAGGCAAAGGCAGGGAAAGAGGATTACAAAGAGCAGCACAAGGCACCACATTGACAACAGAAGTATTAAGTAAAAGTTTACAAAATGAATGGTGAAAAATCCCTAGCTGCACTCCCACAAAGCCAGTCCCTTAGTGGTAGAAGCTCCCTGGAAAAAGAAAGTTTCCTCTCTAGTTAACTTATAAGCCCAAGAAAGATGGAGATATCAGATATTTAATCTTCATAAATATCTAATAAAACAAGATATTTTAATAAGATTATCAATTAAAAGGTTTATATTCAAAAAACAAAAGCAAATACTTACATAACCAACATCAGGTCTGTAACATGTATATGCCCCTAAGACACTATGTAAAACATCATGATATGGGCCACCCTTAGGAGAGAAAAATGAAATTTGAAACTATATGAATAATTCTCTAAGTTTTCATATAACATGTTAAAAACAGCTGTAGAATTTCCTAAATGACTAGTTTTAGTGTATTGTAAAAATATCCTAAGAGCATTCTGAAAAGGTATTTTCAAAATTATTAATAAAAATATTTTAATCCTGAATAACAAAGTCAAATATACTCACTTGATGATATAAGATATATAATTTCCAAACACGTTTAAATACTTCTGTATTTGGTACAAGAGTATGATGAATACATTTTGGTTTTCCTTCCTTCCTTCCATCTTCCTTCCTTCTGTCCTTTCTTCCTTCCTTTCTTTTTATTTTGCAGGGGAGGATGGAACTGGGGATTGAACCCAGGGCTTCAAGTGTGCTAAGCCTCTACTCTATCTCTGAGCTGCACCCCTAGCCATTTCATTTTATTTAATACAAATTCAGCAAAAGAAAACCATCAAATACACTGAATTAAGACGTATTAATAATTTTAACCTTAAATTTTTTATCTCATTTTATTTTTATCAATTTTACAACTTATGAATAAACTGTCTTCCTAGTTTAATGATAACTGTTGAAAATAGTTAACCATTTCTCCCCACAAAATAAATAAACTATTTCTTCTTATTTCAGTTGCAATTCTGAAAAATTTTAAGTTTAGGGACAAAATTCTTTATATTTTAACAACTTACTAGGCAAAAATTAACAAGTTCAATACAGAATGAAAAGTAAAACAAAGAAACGGTGGCACATGCCTATAACTACAGTTACTCAAGAGGATGAGGCAAGAAGATCCCAAGTTTGAAGCCAGCCGGGGCAACTTAGCAAGACCCTGCCTCAAAATTTTAAAAAATGAAAGGTCTAGAGATACAGTCTAACACTCTGCTGGGGTAGGAGGGGTTAGTATCAAGTATATAAAAGGTATTATGTGCTATGATAACTAATGTATTTCAGTCATTGGAGTGAAATGATAGAATTTTCTTTTAAATTTTCATATTAGTTTTGCATTTATTATATATATTATATATAATCGTCTCAATTTTTGTAGTGCTGTCTTTTGTTTGTTTTCAGTATTGGAGACTGAACTCAGGGCCTCATGCATGCTAGGCAAGTATTTTACCACTGAACTATATCCTATATCACTAGGCCTTTTAAAAATTTTATTTTGAAACAGGGTCTAGCTAAGTAGCCCGGACCAGCCTCAAACTTGCAATCTTCCTACCTTAGCCTCCCAAGTACCTAGGATTACAGGTACGTACCTTCATGCCTAGCTGTCTAGTTTTTTGTTTGTTTGTTTTGGTACTGGGGATCAAACTTGCAACCTTGCCCTTGCAAGGCATGCGTTGGAACCGCTGAGCTAAATCCCCAGCCCTAGCTGTCTAGTTTTGGCTTTTAAAAAACAATAGCATGTATTTAGAGAATTTGTCCCCTTGGATACTGAAATACTTTTTAAAAATAGTTACAAGCTGGTTAGAAACCCTCACCTTCTGAAAGATGAAGAGAGATGGAAATGTACGGGATATGTCCAACTTAATTAATTCCAGACTGGCCTCTCGGTCAGCAACAGATACACCTGCATTTACCAAGTAAATAAAATTTAAATGATCACTTGGCTGTAACAAGTTCAGTTTTGTAAACACAGAATGATCACACAGCATATGTGTTATTTAAGGAAAGTTAAAAGCTGAATAATCAAATTTCAAGAAATGCTACAGTTTTTGTGAAAATATATATTTATCAGAAAGGTACATAGTGAAGGAATTCTGCTTCCAGTTTTTATAGAATATAGGGCAGACTATCATTTCCATGATAACAACTAAAAAATCAAATAATTACAAATATTTTTTTTAAAAAATCACCACAGCTAATACAGCAAGGTCTAGAAGATATAAATTCCAGAAAGGGAAAGGCCAGTGGCCAGTTTTCTTCCTAGGGGCACCTGATATGTCTGGGAATGGGTTTAGAATTGAGGTATTCTGCCTGAGGAAAGAGAAACTGGAAGAGCTTTTCATGGCCAAACAAGACTGACAGGATAGATAGGGCTCAAGAAGAGCCCTGATTTTCCCCTATGGAACTTACGCTGAATACAAAAGTCGGGCTGGAGAGGCAAAATGAAATCACCCAAAGTCATACAGTACTTTGGTGAGCATCTCATTGGAGGGAAAAGCCTATAATCAAAATAGGACAGTTCTCATTAAGGAATTTGAAATCAGGGAAGAACGAAATCCAGCTCAATTACTGATTGAATTCAGATGATCAAACTTAAATCCAATTGCCTAGAAGGAAACAGCAGGCTTCTTCCAAAGGGGAAACATCAGCTCCAGTTTTTATATTATTTTCATATATAGTGTATGGCATAAAATTTAAAATGTTAAGATATGCAAAGAAGCAGAAAATGTGACATAAGGAGAAAACTATCCAATAGAAGCAGACCTACAGATAATCCAATTTTGGAATTAACAGACAAGAATGTTGTCTGTTATTTAAACATGTTAAAGAAAGTAGGGAAAAAAGAGAAAATGGATCAATGAAAAGATGAAGAATTTCAACAGAGAAATTGAATGTATAAAGAGAATCAAGTGGACATTATAGAATTACAAAGTATAATATCTAAAATTAAAAACTCATTGGACAGATTAATAGTATATTAAATAGAGTAGAAGAAGGAATTAGTGAACAAAAATCATTCAAACTGAAGGGAAGAAAGAAAAAAACCAGTCTAATAGTCTTATAGAACATTGTTAAATGGTCTACCATATACATAATTGGAGTATCAGAAAGAAAGTGAGAGAAACGGGGGTGAAGCAATATTTGAAAAGCTAATGGCCAAAAATTAAATTACAACTATAAATTATAAATACTCAGGAAATAAGAAAACAGTTTAAATAAAACACTGCTTCTGATTAAAATAAATATTACCTTCAGATAATTTCTACTAATGCACAACTTTCACTTATTGTTTAAATTCTTAAAGTTTTGATACCTCATAACAATTAGTTTTTGAAAGAATAATGGAATAGATGAGGTTCTGCCAATATAAAACTTCTAACATTTTCACCTTCCTTGCACTTTCAGTTCCCCACAAATACCTGACATAGCTAACAGGTCTCAGAATGATATTTACACGATTCTAGAAATCAAACCTTCTCTACATCTCTTTAAGCAGTTTTCCGCATCCTACTGTTCACTTTTCTAAAACAGAAAAAATTTAATATACTCAGAAAACCACTGCAATCTTATTAGCACCACATCTGAAGCTATGCTCATTTTTTAGAGGCTTGGCTTCTCTTTTTTCTTTTATTTGGGGTTGGGAGTGGTACTGGAAATGAGCCAAAGACCTACATCCTTTTTTAATTTTTTGAGACAGGGTTTTGCTAAGTTTCCCAGACTGGACTCAAACTTGGATTCTACTGCCTCAGCCTCCCTGAGTGCTGGGATTACACCAACACTCTGGTGTGAGGCATGCACCATCGCATCCAGCTCATTTTTAGAGTTTTATTTTAGGCAAGAAAAGAGGGTTTGCTTTTTATTTTGTTGTATTTCTATATGAAGTAAAACAAATATAAAAGAGAAAAACAACTGAGAAAAATTGTAGCGCATTATTCAAAGACAATAGATGGTTGGAATAAATTTACCTATATTTAATAAACTGTGATGAATGAAAAAACAAGTGTTTCTCTTTTCTTCACAATGTTTGGGAAAAACCAAATTGACAAGGATGGAGGGGCTATGAGTGACTTAAATGAACAAAGAATAAGGCATAGTAAGATTTATAAACAGGGAGTAAGAAAGACAAGCGGTCACAAATGAGGTATGAAGAAAGTCTATCTTTAAGTAACAGGTTGCCCTAAAAGTACTTCATCTCATTAGCCTTACTGTCATGATTTAAATTCTGGGATCCAGGGTACAATAAATCTGATTTATATCCAACTTCTCTTCTTAAAAGTTATTAACTAAGCCTTAGTTTCGTCTTCTATAATTCAGGATAATACCTACTAAAAATGTTAAGGTTAAATGAGATAATGTATATAAAACAGTTACCACAGTTCCAGATACATGGTATAAAATCACACTATTGTTGTCTTCAGTAACTAGATTTTCATTCTGTAATTATTATTTAAAAACAAAATCATACCTTCTGTATCATTGTCTGCACTTGTTTCACCAAAGCTTTTCCATCGTTCTTTTGCTCTTGAAAGGAAGATCTCATAAAGTTCTAAGAAAAAAAACCCCAAAAATTCATAAGAAAAAAGAATATTTTCATATATTTTAATTTTCACTTTTTACCTAGTATAGGTCAGGTCTCCCTAAAATGATAAGTATTCAAAAAAAAGTAGCAAATTGAAGTATCTGATTCTACCAAAACAATTCATTATAAAACCAGAAAGAGGGCCAGGGATTTAGCTCAGTGGTTCCGGCGCCTGCCTCACAAGCACAAGGTCCTGAGTTCGATCCCTGGTACCACCCCCTCCCCCCAAAAAACCCCAGAAAGATAGCAAATAAAAATGGAGAGTGACCATCCACACATCCAGGTAGCTACAATATAAGCATGAAGCAGAAAGAGCTGTTTCTGTAATGGAGTATCATTGTAGAACAGCAGAAACATAATTTTTGAAGTCAGTCAACCTTGATTCATATTCCTGCTTTGCCACTCACTACCTGTGGGACTTTATTTTTTTTCTTATTTACTTATTTAATTAGTTTTTTTTTTTTTAGATAGGTTCTCACCATGTAGTCCAGATCGGCCTTGAATGCAGTATGTATCCCAGGCCAGCCTTGAACTTGTGGCGATTCTCCTGCCTTAGCCTCCCAAGTACTGGGATTACAAACCTGTGCCACCACACCTCACTACCTGTGGGACTTTAAAAACTTAATCACTCTGAACTTGGCTTTCTTCATCTATAAGATGAAGAAAACACCTACTCATGGGGTTTACTTATGATTAAACAATATTATTTTATGTAAAGTTTCTTACACATTACAGGCTCTCAATAAATGTAATCTTGCTTCTTTACTCTTCTTAAATTGGTTTTTCCATTTTGATATTACTATCTAAAGCTACTTGTACTTCACAGTTTGGTCTAAATACAAAAATCTCTATCCCTATCTTTTTACTTTAAAGTCAATCACTTTTTGGGAATACCACTATAATTCTATATCATAGTCTCATAAAACTTCAGGAACATTTTTTTCAATTCTCAGATTTTAATTATCTTGACTTCCTAGCTAACCATTTCAGATATTTGAAACTACATAAAAATAGTAAATTTCAGTGACAGATCAAAAGATATTTCTTACCCAATACCAACACATATGTTGTTCAAAATACCAAGAACATTTTTTGTTTAAATGAGTTCTTTTTAAAAATTATTCATTTTTAAAGGTAAAATATGAACGTGTTCTCTAAAAAATATATACATAGTACAAAACAATATGGAATGAAAAATAACGTCCTTCTCTCAGATGCAACTATGCTTACCATACCTCTCATGAACTCTTACAAAGACAAAAATATACATGCATGTGTATATACATATAGCCAGGCATGGTGGTGCAGGAGGCTGAGGCAGGAAGATCGCTGCAAGTTTAAGGCTAACCTCAGCTACATAGCAAGTTCAAGGTCAGCCTGAACTGCATAGAGAGACTCTGTCTCAACAAAACAAAACAAACCAAAGCAAAACAAAACAAAACAAAAAGTATATACATATATATATAGCATTGGAGGTATA